CGTCTTTGGCTTAGTGTAAAAATGTGCACTGCTGTTTATCAGCCAAATGAAGCCATCAAGGGCTACCCCGCTTAGCGGGGTGTGTGTGTGGAACACCTGTTTGCCAAGGTTTGCTGATATGCATTAAGTTTGCAGGGGGGCAACCCCGTGAGCATAGCTGGTTGCCCAACGAAGAGGGCTATGCCACGGCTGATACTGGGTCTGATCAACCCAGCGTACTTGCCAGTTTTTTCTGCAAGTGTTATGGCTTGGGGCTAAGCCTAGAACCCCAATAAATGATGTTACTGCCTAGCGGCTTAAAATCCTTTACCTCTATGTTGAAAGACTGAGCTACAACAATTACCATCAGTCCAGAGGGAGGATTGCACGAGTGTCTGTGTGTGTGTGTGTGTGTGTGTCTGTGTGTGTGTGTGTCTGTTTGTGTGTGTGTGTGTGTGTCTCTGTGTGTGTGTGTGTGTGTGTCTGTGCGTGCGTGCGTGCGTGGGTGTGTGTGTGTGTGTGTGTCTGTTTGTGTATGTGTGTGTCTCTGTGTGTGTGTGTCTCGTGTGTGTGTGTGTGTGTGTGTGTGTGTGTGTGTGTGTGTTTGTGTCTCGTGTGTGTGTGTGTGTGTGTCTCTGTGTGTGTGTGTGTGTGTTTGTGTGTGTGTGTGTGTCTGTGTGTGTGTGTACCTGTGCGTGTGTGCGTGCGTGTGTGTGTGTGTGTGTGTGTCTGGTTGTGTGTGTGTGTGTGTGTGTGTGCGCGTGCGTCTGTGCGTATGTGTGTGTCTCTGTGTGTGTGTGTGTCTCGTGTGTGTGTGTGTGTGTGTGTGTTTGTGTCTCGTGTGTGTGTGTGTATGTGTGTCTGTGTGTGTCTCTGTGTGTGTTTCTCTGCGTGTGTGTGTCTGTGTGTGTCTGTGCGTGTGTGTGTCTGTGTGTGTGTGTGTGACAGTGTGTGTCTCTGTGTGTGTCTCTGTGTGTATGTGTGTCTGTGTGTGTGTATCTGTCTGTGTGTGTGTGTATCTGTGTGTGTGCGTGTGCGTGTGCGGGCGCGCGTGTGCGTGCTTGTGTGTGTGTGCGCGTGTGTGTGCGGGGGTCTTGGATAACGCTTGTGGGACCCTTGTAGTCTAGTAGCACCCTTGCAAAAACAAGCCCCAAACGAACCCTCGTAAGCCCAGACCCTCCCAAAATCACAAACCGGAAGGTTTCGAAGGTCTCGTCGACGTCAACAACAGAAAGCCTGTCGACTCGCCGTGCTCAGGAGAGGGATAATGGGGATGTGAGTAATGGTGCAGTAGCCGTATCCCCTCCACTCTGCCGCAAGACTCTGCAAGCTTATATTTAGTAAGACCCCTAAATTAGTTTGCGCCTGAACCTGAAAGCCTTCGCTTCTGTGCTTGGGCTTTTGAGGGCACTAAACCATTACCCGAAATCCGAAGCCCAGATCGCACCAGAGACGCCTCTTGGATTCCTTCCTCGTCGGAGTGCGAACCCGACCCCCCCCCGGCCCCGTGAGACGCCAAAAGCAAGACTTGCTACATGTGTTCTCCAGTTTGATGACAGAGTCCTTACCCCGATTTTTGCCAGCGAAGGCCAAAGACACTGTGTTGGAGCCCGAAGGCTCAAAATAGCCCAAAAGCCCTTACATAGTATGGTCTTTGGGCCCAAAAGCCTTAAAATAAGAGTCCTTAGAGCCTAAGGGCAGAGTAACCCTATGATGGTGTCTGGCTCGTGGTGATCCTGCAGCCATCCTCCCAGGAGAAGGAGTTTGTCCAGAGGCACGACTCCGAAAACAGCGAGGCCACAGGGTTCCGGGGAGGGTTCTGATGTTAGGATTGAGGGCTTCGGGACACTGTAGACGGAGGGTTGTTTTCTGCATTTCCTTACCAGGCAGTGCATTACCAAAACGGAAGTTCTAGAGGCGGCTTAGAGGCTAAGGTAGGGCTCATGTTCCTACTCAGCTCTAAACTTCCAGACACCAAACCCCAAATCCTCACGAAGAGATGCGCAGGCCGGGACCTGAAAACACTCCAAGTCTCCAAGCCCCAAATCCCAAACAACAGATGCCGAAGCCCGAATCTGAAACCTTGTACATGTACGTACGTGTTTAGGTATGCATGGACGTATGTACGTATGTGATGTATGTATCTACTCGTGTATCTTTGTGCCTGACCATGGGTATAGCTGCAGATGAAAGCCTTACAAATCACTACGCCACTACGCATGCATATGTACGCCCTGTTGAAGCCTGGCCTAAACCCGGAAGCCGACACTCTCCAGATTTGGTATCTCGTTTGCACGGCTTGGCTGGATGAGTGGAAGGCCTTCGCGGCCTTGGCATGAGCTTGGAAGCTGTTTTTCTTTTGCTGTGGCTTCGGGGTGTGGACTGAAAAGGCAAAGGTTCGGATTTAGGCCTCAGAGAGGTCGACTTCATATCTTTCAAGTGTTTTCAGTCTATATGGGCTGATTCTGTAGGTCTTCATGGGCTGAGAGTTGGTCTTTTATGGCTTGATTCGGAGGTCCAGCTTCAGAGACGCGGTTTCAGCTCTCGGACAAGCTGGGGTCCACGACCACCCCACACTCGAGATAGAGATCATGTTTCACGAGGATGTCAGAACTCCCTCCGGGTCGACAACAACAATGAGAAGAATTGCAACAATCACATGTGTTTGATAGTTCGACAATCATACTCAGAAGACGAATACTAGTCATCGTCATAGTAATAGCAAGAACAATATTTTGCCAAGGTTACTGGAAAGGCTGGTCCCCCCGGTCCCATCACCAACGAGACGTTGGTTCGCCCAGATGGCACTCCCCTCCCAGGAAAGAGGGCTGTGGAGCATCTGGGCTTCATTGCTTGCGTTTCAAGGACATTTTCACGGTCTAGGGCTTGGGATTTGGGGTCTGGGTTTAGGGTCTTTGTTACCCCTGCTTCCCAAAGTTTGAACCTTGGACCCTATGCAGTACTTAACCCTTTCCACAGCTGCCAAAGTTCATCAAGCCATGCCGAGGCACTTCCGCGGCGTGAATGCAGAAGTGTGGAAGTGCCCTGGATTGTGTTTCTGGCTCCGAGGTGACAAAGGCCTCACCCCGAACAGCTTGAGCTCCACAGTTTAAATGTTTGTTGGTGACTTGCATGCTTTCGGTCATCGTCCAGGCCTTGTAAGATGCAGAGCACCACACCTGAACCTTACACCCGAAAACCCAGACCTCAAAATGTCAACCTTAAGCTGGCAACCTTAAACCCTAAATCTCAAACCCTGAACTTAACTTTGAACCCAAAACCCCCAATCTGAAACTGTAAACCCGAAATTAAGCCCGAAATCCAAGGTATTTGCAGTCTCGCCACGGAGGAGGGCCCGAAATCCTTCGAATTAAGCAGGTCAAGCTCTATGTTGAGACCTGGCTCTCTACTTATCTGTGGCAATTTTGATGTATAGGGAAAGCCCCTACATCGAATACTTATCTGTAGTTTAGGGTTTTAGGGTTTAGGGGGTCATTGGGGGTCCAGGTACTCTACATCACCGGTACATCACCGCAAGGTACTTATCTGTAGTTAATGGTCTTGGGGCATAGTGTTCAGGGTTGAGGGTGACAAGGCTTTAGGGCTTGAGGCTGGGTCATTGTGTCACAGGGAGTCAAGGCTTACTCCAGCGAATGGGCTTTTCAACAGGGATAATTATGGTACCCACACGCGGGGGGTTTCTGGATTTGAGTTTTTGGTTTCAGGGTTTTAAGGAGGTTTGTGGGTTGCCCAGATGTGGGCGATGCCTACAATCTCCATGACTTGTTTTCGAGGTCCTGGCTCCCGGCACGAAGTCTCTCTCAAAGGCTCTTCAAGTCTTAGATATCTCAACCGAGGTACTTAAACAAGCCCCAAACCCTAAACCCGTAAACCCCAAACCCTTCTTATAATAGTGATTCGAGCCAAGGAGACTGCTACGCCCACGCCGAATGTGTGGTCCAGGGGCCCTCGCATCTCAAGCCGGGAGGGATTCCAAACGAGCAGGGTTCAGGGCTCTAGGGTTCTAGTGTTCCAGAGTTTCAGGGTTTCAGGGTTTGGGATTCTAGGGCGCTAGGGTCTCGGGTTCTAGTGTTCTAGGGCTGAGGGTTTAGAGTTAGAGGGTCGGGATTATTAACACTGACTTTGCGTGCTATAGGATTGGCGGATTGGAGCTTTCACGGGAGCGATTGGGGTTTGAGGGTCGTTGGGACCTGGAGCTGAGTGTTTAGACGTTTGCGTTGACGACAGGACCCGAAACAGTAATGTTTGGGCGTTGTTGGAATTGAGGCAAGAGGATTGATTGAAGTTTTGGCTTTTGCCCTTCAGAAGATACCATAGTCTCTTTTGAGAAGCACTGTAGCCTGAATTCCATTATGAGCATGGTATACTCCAAAAGATTGCTCCAGATGTTTGGGCCCACACAAATGGGAGTTTCCGAAAATAGGGATCCTAATATAGTACCTGATAGTAGGATCTTGAAGTCTTTTATTTTCAGTACCCCAGGATAAGGTACCCCTAATTTCCGGAACCCCCCAAATAGACAATCCAAGAAATTACATAACTCCCTTGTAGAGAAGTCCCACAGGTCTCGCTCCCCTGTTGAAGCCGTAGGTCAAGCCTACATAATCCCTGAGCCTGTTAGGGTGTAGGGTTTAGTGACTTTTCTCCCAAATCGCAAATCCCCAAATCCTGTCATCCCTACGAGCGACTTTGGGAGCTGGGAGTTTCCGAAAATTTGGGTTTTACCTTATTTGGGGGTCCTTAGAATAAGGATCCTACTATTTAGGGTACTACCCTAAGGCTCAAAATAGCCCAAAAGCCCTTACATAGTATGGTCTTTGGGCCCAAAAGCCTTAAAATATGAGTCCTTAGAGCCTAAGGGCTAGATTAGGGTCCCCCCATTTTCGGAAACTCCTAAACCCTATACCCTTAATTGCACCCTTATTGCTCCCTTAAAAGGAGCCCTTAAAGGGTCCCCCTAGTTTTCGGAAACTCCCTGCGACGTCGCAGGTGCCCTTGCCATGGTAAAATCGTCCTTCACGGGCTCTCCGGCCATTGCTCCGATGTGTTCTCCGGTAAAGAGCAGCTTGGCTTGAAGTCTGGGGTTTAGGGTTCAGAGTTTAGGGTTTAGGGTTTGGGGAGTTTAGGGTTGAGGGTTTAGGGTGTAGGCTTTAGGGTTTAGGGTTAAACCTTTAGGGCTCATCCTTGTAACGATGCTGTGCCCTCAAACCCTGACAACCTAGAACCACAAGCGGAAACCTAAGCCCTCTAAACCCTGACAACCTAAAACCACAAGCAGAAGCGTAAGCCTTCTAAACCTATATGCCCTGCAGCCACTAAAGCCCTTCAATCCTCTAAGCCCTAGACCCTTAACCTTAAATCCTCTAAGCCCTGAGCCCTAAACACTCCCTTCAATCCTCTAAACCTCCCTTCAATCCTCTAAACCCTAGACCCTAAACTCTAAATCCTCCAAGCCCGAAAAACTTTACCCTTGAGCCCTTACTGAACCCTAGACCCTATAAACCCGAATCCTCTAAGCCCTAGGCCCTCAACCCCAAATTCTCTAAGCCCAAAGCCCTGAATTCTCTTACACCCTAAACCCTAAATCCCCGAAGCCCTTAACCTGGAGCCCTACGGAAGACAGGCAAGCCCATGGCACCGGCAGCGGCGCCGCCTTCGCAGGGCAAGGCTCCGCGGGCCTGCATAAGCCGGAAGAATCATAGGAGGCCAAAATCCTAGGCATCGGGTTTAAGGTCTAGGGTTGAGGGTATAGTGAAGTATAGAATAGAAAACCCAAACCCTTAGGGCTCTAATGACTCATATTTTAAGGCTTTATGTTAAGGAATCCCTGCCCCAAGGATCTTAATCCCCCCTTTTGGCCTCCCATCATATAAGTCCGTAGAAAGGCAGACTCAGAGGGTGCAGGATTTAGGGTCTACAGGTAGGGGTTTAGGGTTTGGGTTCAGGGGTTTAGGGCTTAGGGGTTCAGGGTTTAGGGAAGGTAGGTGGGGTGATGCTCATTCAGGGTCCTGACATAAGGGGTCCTCAAGCCTACCTTCACCTGCCTTTTGAGGCTTCCAAGTTGTTTGGGGTTCAGGTGGGGCTTGGGGTCCGTGGGCCTGTGCGGAGCAGATTTCGGGTTGTTGGGTTTAGGCATTTGCTTTGTTGGGGCTGCGACGCAGGACGGGTTTCAGGTTGAACCCTCAACCCCAAACCTTAAACCAGTAAACCCCTAAACTCCAAACCCTAAGCTCCAAACCCTAAACCTAAACCCCTAAACCCTACAACGCCAAACCGTCGACAGGTGACCTGCGACAAGTGCGATGGACCACATGCCACGGAGAATTGCCCGCATTTCAAAAAGCCCCGCGAGAAGCATCCGGATGCCTGGTGCCTCGGCCTTTCCGTTTCTAAGGGTTCAGGGTTTGGGGTTTAGGGTTGAGGGTCTATAGGGTAGGGGTTCGGGGATTTAGGGTTCAATTTTTTGTTTAAGGTTTAGGATTCAGGGTGAAGCGGGTTTCATTAGGGTTCAGGATGTAATGCTGCGAGTTCTGATCGGCCTTAAGCCTCTAGAATCAGACCCTAAGGTTCCCAAATCGTACCAAGTGGCACCATCCGTCGGGAAGCCTTGACATCCCACACTGGAAGTACAAAGTCATAGCTTCGGATACCCCGCATTGGACTGCAGCTGAGTCGATTCGCCCATGAATGCATATGCGCATTTCCCAAATACATCCCGTAACCCTGAACGCCGTACTTACACCTACACCAGAGCCTCTCAGGTGCTTGAAATCGCAGTTCACAAGCCCCAATACCAAGTATCCCATACCCTCGAATCCTAAACCCATTTTGCCCTGGAGGTCCTAGAGCCTCTCAGGTGCCCTAAACCCCAAACCCAGCACGACCAGCCGAGCAGACATAAAAAGGAGCTACAACAAACCCTGAACGCTAACCCCAAACCCTGAACCCTAAATCCTGATCCTCTCCGGTGCTTGAAACCCCCAAACAATCAAGATCCCGTAACCCTAAAACCCTGGATTCCCAACTATCCGTAACTATCCCCTAGAAGCTCTGTAGTAGTTCCTTTTTGGGGGTTCATATATAGAATCCTATAAGGCAATCCCAGAACGGGACTACTATGGAGTCTATGGGTATCCCCTAGAAGCTCTAGAGCCTCTGAGGTGCTTGAAGGGCAAGGCCAAGCTAAACCCTAAACCCTAGAGCTTCGCAGGTGCTTGAAGGGCTAGGGTTCCTTATTATGATTTCTTGATGTATGTCCTTAAAAATGTAGGTTCTTCGGGGTTAAGGTAAACCCTAGAGCCTCTCAGGTGCTTAAAGGGCAAGGCAAAGCTCGTCGGCGCAGCCGAGTCGGAGGCAAAGTTCGTTAGCCGCGCCCGCGTTGTTCGCCAGCCGGGGGATGGCTCCCTGGACCCAAACAAAGGCCCTAAGGGTCCAGGTAGTCCTTATTTATGGTTTTGGTACCCAAAAAAGCTTTAAAGTCGTACAATAGGGAGTGGAAACGAATTAGGGTTCAGGTTTTAGGGCTTATGGGGTTTAGGGTTTAAGGTTTGGGCTTGGGGTTTAGGGGTTTAGGGTTCAGGGTTTAGGGTTTGGGGTTTAGGGTATAGTGCAGTATAGAATAGAAAACCCAAGCCTTAGGGCTCTAAGGACTCACATTTTAAGGTTTTTTGGCCCAAAGACCATACTATATACATAAGGCTTTTGGGCTATTTTGAGCCTTAGTGGAACAAAGGGTAGTAGAGTGTAGTATAGAATAGAAAGGTATAGTATAATACACTAGGGTAATATGGACAACGATCCACGTAGTAGTTTTAGGCCCCTTAGACGCAAAGGAATAAAGTATATCCATTGGGGTCCCAAATATTAGGTAATAGTATAGCACCTATAGTATATAGTTTAAGGGCCCGCACATGCCACGGAGTACCTAATATTATTGGTACTTGGACCCTTTAGGGGCACGAAAACCCTCACTAAGACTCCGAGCATACAAGCAGTACCTACTTTGGTTCCTAGTCGGAGTGTTAGAGCCAAAGATTCCAGGGGCCCATGCAGTATAGACTTTTGGAGCCTTTTCAAGTCTAAAGCATGTCTCGCATAGGGACATGGACTCGTTGGGAAAGCATCCTTTTGGTGCGTAGGTCCTCCCCTTAACGCGACAGACATACTCATGTACATCGGAGTCCTCTTGTTCAGCACTTATGTAGTGCCTGAAAGCAATAATGTGGACGATAAGTGAGCTGCAAAGATTGAATCCTTCGTTTTAACCATTTCGAGCCTGAAGTTAGACCCTAAACATTGCACCAATACCCGGGACACTTAACTCCTGGAAAGAGGCTGGTGGTTCGCGGTTTTGCATATGCCGACCTTCGGCATTTCAACGGGACTACAAGGGTTTGTGAGATGGGGTGCGACGGATTCAGGGTCAGGGTTTTAGGGTCTTCGGGCTGATGGCTTACACTAGGGCTTATGGTGTTAGGATTTCGGGTACGTGGCTTCGGTGTTTTCATGATTACCTAGAGGCCCCATGGTAGTTCCTTTTTGGCGTTCATATTTAGAATCTTACAAGGTAATCCCAAAAAGGAACTGCTATGGAGCCTATGAGATCAAGGCTAGCTCCGGAAGAATTGTCATGTCTAAGTTTCGGGTTAGGGTTTAGGGCTAACCAGGACCCCCCAATGAAGGGCACTTTAATAGAGGCCTTATGGCTTGGGTATAATACAGGCTAGTTGGGGGGGGTCTAGGAAGTGTCTTTGGTTCAAGGCATTGGGTTCAGACCCTGTGCCCCAAACGCTAAACCCCCCCAAAGCGCGCAGCCCAGGCTCATGCATGTTCCACTCGGTGTCGTATGGACTTGGCGACGGAAGCACAGCCGGGTCACTGCGTAAGAGCGTGGCGGAAGCTTGCCTGAGTGAGATGTCCGAACACCTAAACCGCACACCTGGAACCCTTAACCTAGCCCTAGCCGTAGAGCCCCATACCCACACAGAGGCTTTGGGGATTTCTGGCTGCGAAATGCGCGGTCTTGGGATACAGACGCTTCGCGGTAACCCTTGGTTCTTGGTTTCCTTACTTGCATGTCGTGTTATTGAGGACACCATCGCCGCATACCCCAACATGCAAATCCTGGAGACACCCGTAGCAGAGTGGATCCGGATGGATGCCAACGTCGATGTCAGCTCGTATGTCCAAAGCCTCCGGGGCGGCGCCTGGGGCGGCGGAATCGAGCTGGCCGTCGCCTGGACAGATTTGTTGTAGAAAGATGGTTCGGTGTTTCTAACATTGATCTCCTTGTTGCGCCTGAACTCAAGGCATATAAGCTGCTAGAGAGCATGGACGTCTTAAACAGTGGGATTTGCAATCATTGCCCTCTTTGTTCTCAGTCTCATGAACCCCATGAACCCAAGACAACCAGCCTAGTGGACAACAGTTTCTGGACATGTCGTTGTTAAGTATAACAGCACAGACAACTGAGGTTCTTGCACAGATGAAAAACATCAGCATTGAAGTCTATGAATCTCGCCGCAGAGGGTACGCCCGCATTGCTCGATTCGGCTCAGGTGGGAAGGTTTTGTGAAACAGGAACTACCTGTAATTAGCCCCAAACCCGACACAAAAATCGTATGGTATGACCGTTTAGTATTGGTGATCATTCCTAAAACGGTGGCTTTTGGAATTCAAGATTAGCCCCAAAGTTCTGGTCGTACCGGGGCTCACCGCGTAAGGTTTGTTTCACCCTAAACTGGCCCTAATCCTTAAACTCTACACCCTAAACCTAAACCCTACACCCTGAGCCTAATTAAGCCCTAATCCCGACTACGTAGTCCTAAAGAAACAAGAGACAGCTGACGTCCAAACCCTGAGTCGTACCATATAGGGGGTCTGAATGACTAGTATATTTGCCGTACCAGGCCCTGTATGTCTGCAATGTGTGCACCACTGCCCTATTCCAATCAGGAAGGCCCCACATGAGTTAAGCCACGCGTCAGAAACCACGAGGTGGTCGTAACGTGCCGATCCTGTACCAGGGTCGCTTGCACTATGACGCGCTTGTGCTGAACTGAGCAGTTTCAGCTGTGCGATTCCCGAATCATCTATGTGAACTTCCCCTTTCTTCAGAGAACCCCCAAATGCCAAGCTGAAGCAATGCAAACCGTGCCTCTTGTGCGGTTGCTGCCACATGCATCTACATCGAATCGTCGTGCATAGATAATTAGATTATATATTCACAGACAAGACACGTGCACTCACTCAGACCTGTCATGTTTACATACGTTTACATAAAGACTTATGACCGTTGTCCTTTCTGCACGCTGACATTCTCTGGTATCTTTGAAGAACCAGAGTTTTGGCATTGGGTTCCTGTGCTTTCTGTCCCAAAGGGGCAGATGCCACTTGACCAGGATCGGCAGATGCTTCATATCGTCTCTGAAACCAAAAAGCCCCAGAAGCGAAGCTTCCATCCATGACCTCGAGCCCACCAGAAGTTGCACGGTTAGGCGGGCAGCAGCCTAAAGCCCTAGACTTAGCGGTTTAGGGTTGGGTAGGGCTTAACCTTCAGTTTCGGGATTCAGCGTTTGGGAATTAGTGTTTATAATAGGGTTCAGGATTTTGGGCTCAAGTGTCGTTCCATTCCCGGTTTCTCTATCAAATCTTTCGAGGTTCTCAGGCATGATAAGGAAGGCGCAGTCTCAACCCTGCTTGTGCATACGCGGCTGAACATAATTTTGCCATGCCCAAAATCCCCCCATGCGCCTAGGCCGCTAGGTACAGTCTTCACTGTTTTTCGTTTTTTGTGAACCAGGTTCCACGCCTAGGGTGCTATAATACGAAACTGGTTAGTTAACCAAAAGGGGTTTAGCAGCCGCGCTAGACCATGCATTGGAGGAGATCTTGTTAGGGAAAGTGTGAAGGATCCATTGCCGCGTTGCAGCTCAAGCGCCAGTAGGTAAACTCCCACATCGCCGTCGCTGTTGTCAACTTGCAATAGACGTAGAACACATTGGGAACATGTTGGAGTTGTGATCTCTGAAGCTGGGTTTGGGACTTGGTGATTTGGCACCTAAGCGGTCACAGTTTGCGAGCTCAGATCAGTAGTCGGGGCTTCTTTTGGAGCTCCCCTTACTCAGCCGGACTCCCAGCTTCAGGTGATAAAGCTACACCAGGTATACTGGCGGTTCATAACGGCATGTTCTGGGCTTTGGTGTTGGGGTTTTCCACCCAATTGAATCTCAAGATCAGAGGTTCACCCTCAAGGCACACTACAGGCTCCAAGCCCAAGATTTCGGATGATCTCTTTTTGTTTGTCCTTTTGGGTTCAAGGTTGAGGATTCGTGCGCTAGCCTAAAACTCGGTAAGGTCCTGCCAGCACGCGGACTCAGGGTGCTGCGACCTATTTGTGTAAGGTTTTAGCAGGCTAAGGGACTCAGCATTGGCGGCCTATCCTTTGACTCCATGGGGCCATTGGCGATTCTGCCGTGATGCCTCAACCCCCCGACGAAGATGGACGTAAATTTGAGAAAATGACGACTCCTGAGGCCGCAACCCCATCCGAATCCGAAGTTTATAGACTCCATAGACCTGAATCCCGAAACCCCCAGACCCGAGAACACGTGGGCCATTTTGATTAAACGCCGCTTTGTGACCCCACTACTTTCTCATCCACATAAAAATCAGCCTGCCCGGGCAGTTGGATGTGAAGCGTGTTAGGCATTCTTTGACACTTCATCGTGAGCTTGAGGAAGTCCCATGTTGCAGCCCAAATGCTCTTCCTTGGTTGTGGCCGTACACTTTGATCTTCCGGCATGAAAGGCTACGGAGTAAACCCAGAATGCGTAGCCCAAGCCACTAAAGCGTTGAGCCGAGGCCCACCAACTATCACACAGAGCAGGTACTTTAGGAAATAAGTAGAACCCGAAGAGAGATGCTGCGAAAACCTAAAAAAAAGCAAGACTCAAGATTAGCAGGGTTTCTTTTGGCGAATGGAGTTGGAGTCGGAGGGTTTTGGACCGAGCCTGTTGCTCACAGAACGTGCTTCGCATTTGGGTTGAGGATGTTGCTTCATTAGGCGTTTCGGCGTTGTGCATTGCGCATTTGGGACTTCTCTCCCAAGCTCATCGACTTTTTCCCGTCGAAAACCGCTCTCTGTTCGTCAATGTTCGAAGTCCTTGGACCTGAAACCCTAAACCCCGGAACCCAGAACCCCCAAGCCCCTAACACTCGACCAGAGCCTACACGCCCTCCAACCCTAATCCCGGATTAACCCAAGGTCATTGCGTCATGCCGGTTGTGTGCTCGGAGTGCTTCTCGAGGGTTTAGGGGCCGGCATCAAGGGAAGCTTTGTCCGTTGCACTTCGTGTTAGTCCTTTAGGTGCAGAATTTCGGGATCCACTGCGGCGCTGTCCTTCTGGCCGACTTTAGCTTCGGAAACGCGAGTTTGTCGGAAGTAGGTGGGGGTAGGACCGGGTAATTAGGACTTCGACTCTTAAACCCTTCGTTTCACC